AAATTTTCCACCCCGTCACCAAGTTTTATTCCGCGCAAGACAGCACTGACTTGGGGGGGGAGGGCGGGGCAGCAGTCCTGGGCGTGGGGAGAAGAGAGCTCTCTGGTCTGCTGTCCTGTTTGGTGTCGACGGTGGTGCCTCCTGCGCCCAGGAAGTGACTTGGGGACGCTGGTAGGACACTGGGTCTCGCTGTTCAGCTGAAGGCGCGGGGTGGGCTGGAGGGGACGTTTTCGCGAAGGAGAGGGCGGCCCCTTTATAAAGGGGTGGGGAGCTCCTCGGGTGGAGGTGCAGGGCTGTTAAAATGTGTCATTTCAAGCATTTGTGAGACCTGGAACTAGACGCTGTTGTGCCCGGGTTGTAGGCAGGGTCCCGGAGGGGAGGGGAGCGCAGGGCCTCTCGCTCTCGCTCTCTCGTTCTTAAAGGTGACGCTCCACAAGCCACTGCCCTTCAGGGGGCCTCCGGACACAGACCCTCCTCCCCACACCCTCCTCCGAGCCACCCCCAGCCCCGCTCAGCCCTGCTCCTTGTCACTGCATCTGGGAGAGGGGAGACCAAGCGGCAGAGGTCGAGAAGGATCCAGAAGTGCCAGCGTGTGCCTGTCTCCTTCCCGCTCCGTGACGTGGAAGGGACGGTGCGTTCCGGCCCGCACCCCTCCCTTCTCCTGTGCTCTGGGCGACTCCCCTCCACCCCCCTTCCCTCCCCCCCTCCCCCCAGAGCGCGTGTCCTCACTGGGGAGTGACGCTCCCACCAGCCTCACCCCTTCCTCTGGCAGGAGCCACTCCCCCACCTCCTCCTCGAGAAACCTCCAGCCGAGGTGGGAGGAGCCTCCACTGCGTAGGCTGCTCCACGACCTCTGACCCGTCCCTGCCTGTGCCCCCTCAGGAGCCCCACCCTCTGGGAGGGTCCTCAGCTGCCCTCCCGGCACGTCTTTGTGTCCCTACCTCTGTGTTCTGGCCCCGCCTTCACTTGCCCTCTCTCACTAGCTCGCTTGCTCGCTCCCCATAGACTGCCCCGTCCCCCACAGCCAAGTCCTCCCCCTCTCCTGAGACCCCTCCTCACCCCTGCCACCCGCTCAGGGCACCTCCTCGCAGCCTGCCTGCTGCCCAGCACTTGGCAGGAACCATGCCCCGTTCTCACCTCCAGACTCACTTCCAGGCCCTTCTGCGGTGCCCCCTCTTCTGCCCGTTCCTCTCTCGCCCACCTGAGTGGTACGGCGCACTTCGTCTTTCCTGAACAGCCCTCTGCGCCGGCTCGGGGCCTCCTGACGGGCACAGGGGTCTCCGCTCGGCCGGGTCAGTACAGGGTCCCCTCCTTCCTCCTCATCCCCGCTCACACGGCACCCTTTGCCCCTGAGTGGCCCCTGCTTGTCCTCACAGCACCACCTGCTGCCTCTGAGGGGCCTCAGGTAAGTGTCCAGGGGAGTGTGGCCGAGGACAAGGCGCACCATGACCAAGTGATGAGGCTCGTTACTGAAAATAAAGCAGCGAAGAGGTTCCTCCTCGTCCCCCTCCACACGCCAGGCACAGCCGCTCGGATGGGCGGTGCTCTGCACAGACCCATCGGGGCTGCCTCCCGCGCGGGTCCCCTGCAGGCCGGGGCCTGAGGCTCCGAGGGGAGGTGGTTGGCCGGGAGCAAGAGCTCCCCGAGTGACAGGGAGAGGCACAGGAGGGTCAGAGTGACAGTCTGACCACAGAGAGTGGGTGTGGGAGAGAGGGGGACAGAAACGTGTGGCCTCAGTCCTGCCGCCAGAGCAGCCACTTGTTCTGGGAGCTCCGAGCACAACTCCACGAAAGTGGGACACACGAGTTTTGAGCACTGCAGTGCCCGAGGCCTGGACAGGCCGATAGCACATAGTAGGTGCTTCATAAGCTGCATGAGACACTCGGCACGTGAACCTCTTGTTGGCTGCACTGACCTGCTCAAGGCACTGAGCCTACCCCTGCCTTCGGGCCAAAAGCACCGCCGAAGGGAGACGTGAGCCAGCGGGGCAGCAAGTGGACCCCCCGGCGGCCAAGCGGAGCATCCGAGGGCCTCCCCTCAGCCCCCTGCGGCCTCAGGGCCCCCACAGAAACCTCCTGTTAGCTGCCTCCCGGGAGGGGCGCTGCGGGGACGGCTCAGGCCTGCCCCTCCACTCGGCCCGCGCTTGCTGGTGTCTCGCTCTGAGCTGCGTCGTCTTGAATGAACAAAGGGAATTGATGTAGAATTTGGGCAAAGCCCTGGAGAGTCCCGGCTGGGACCGTGTGCGAGGCGAACGCTGTCCTGCCCTCGCCACTCTCCCCACCACCGGCATCGGCAGGGCCCTGACCGGCCTCGGAAGACCCGGGAGACTGCCCAGGACAACTCATTGCTGTGCATACTTCCAAAGTTGTGGGTATGAGGACAGTTTGTGGGCCCGTAGAGGGTCATCGAGTCCAGGTAGGACTGGGGCCGTGAGGGGGTCGCCTCTTGAGCCGGCGGGCCTGCCGCCTGTCCCGCTGCAGGAGGGAGACGGCCTCACCTTCCTGACGCCGCGCTGGGCGCATGGGAACGTGTATTCTTTTTCCCTGTTTGGAAGTTCCTATCCCACAAAACCAATCGAATAGGGGTTTCTTACCAAAATCTTATGAGAACATT